CATTCGAACATGATTTATTAAAGAAAGATGTTATGTATAACTACTACGTCATGTCCGCTTATATTTATTAATAACGTTTCTTTTAAATCCTTGCCGTTGGTAATGGATATTGTTTGGCAGCAAGTAATATTAAGATCAGCTTTTTACATTATTCCAGCTTATGCGCATTGACATCAAATGAGTGATGCTATTCTTTTCGAACAAGTTTCTCAAATAGTATCAATTATCAATCCCAACTTCAGGAGTTTCCCACCAAGTATTAATTGATATTATTTTATTATTTTTTTTTTTGGGATATATCTAGGGAGTGGGATCAATAGAAACTAAGTAGATTTTCTTACAATAAGTCAACGCAAGAACGCACATCAATATTCATTTTAATTTAGAAAATCTTTTGCCCAGATATTGATATTAATGCACATAAATGCATTTGACAGTCAGTGACAACACCTGGCTAGCTAAGCAAATCAGTGAAAACAGATGGCTAAGCAAATCAGTGAAAACTGTTGTCGCTCATCAACAGATCAGTGTTTTGGAGTGGCTATAAATTTTGGGCTAGAACTCGTAGATATAATTCACTTTTCCGAACTTCCTAATTGTTAATCAAAGTGCATCAGGCAGCAGTTGGCATTGGTTTTCATAGGAATGGGTAGGCCTTCTTGCAACTATTTCTTCATCATTCTTCTACTCTTCTCAGGTACTTTAATTTCCTTGTGTTCCTTTCTTGTCTATATATCTTTTCAATAAATGATTTTTTGTTTTTTTTTTTGTTTTGGTGCAATAATTAACGAATTATTATTTTGGTTTTGGCAGTTGCATTGATGGTGCGTCAAGCAGAAGCAAGGACATGCTATAACATTCTTCCTAACATTGTTCCATGCGACCTTGGAACTTGCGAGAAGCTGTGCGCATTTTTACGCTTTGAGAAGGGAGAATGCTCTCCCTTGCTGCCAAGCGGAGGAGAGCTCGTTTGCAAGTGCAGCTGGACTGCCGAGTCATGTTAATGAACCATTTGCCGTACCAGTTTCTCAAGCACCCAACGACTTGGTTATGTCTTGCAAAATAAACAAATAAATAAATGGTTCTATTGGATTAAACTTCTGCTGCGCGCTCATCAAACAAATTAATTCAAATTTATCGTGAAGGAAAAAATTGAATAATCTTAACCCAATAATCATCTATATTGATCAATCGAAGTTTCTCCAAATAGTCTAAATAAATCATACTAAAAAATAAAAAAATTGCTACTAGCTAGTAGTGACTAAAGATTGCAGGCCTAACTTTTAGCTTGAAAAGAGAATGAAATCCCAGCTAGTTGTATCATCCTCTAATTCTCTAGTTTGAATTTTCTTCTTTTACTAATTCTCTTTTGTATTGAAAAAAATATATTGATAATCCATAGTTGGTTTAATGACAAATTTTACCCTTGTTCTATTACGATTTGAAAATTTTAGATTTTTAATATCAAATTACGTAATTTAAATTTTAAGCTATTGGTTTTTAAGCAAAACTAATTCAATTTCTCTAATTGTTGTAATATCTAACGATCAACTAGATTGACGGTTATTTGAAATAACAAAATGATGTCGTTTTGACATTCCGCCGTTAGTTATTTTTTAAAAAAAAAACATTTAAAAAATGTTTTTTAACCCCTAAAATCTTGAATTTTTTAAAACTTTTTTTTCTTGAAAAATATTACAAATATTATATATGTATAGATATAGGATTTAAAAAACAGAACGTGAAAATGCTTTGATAAAAAAAAAAAAAAAAACTTTGTAGCAACAACAAAACTTTATTGACAATATTACTAAGTGCTTCATGTTAAACTGCAGAGACTGATGTGAGTGGAGGCTCACAATATAAAAAGTTATGCAAAGCCAGCACAGACGAAACCCTAAAAGGTCTATATAATATTAGGTCGGATGTATAAGCTCTTTAAGATTTTTTTCTTATAACCCTGTTTGTCCAAACCATAAATAGAAATACCGTTACTTATATTTATAACCGCAACGTGATAAAATCTAACAAGAATCTTAATGTAACCGTAGAGTAAACATCATTATCGAATCACGTAAAATTTTTATATTATGCGATTATTTTTAATTTTTCTATTCTATTCCTTTGAGTGATTCGTTTCCCAACATTTTGATGGTTATGCTTTCTTACAAGCTCTTTTTTCCATGTATACAAACTGTAAAAACCTTTGCTCAGACAAGGTGGTTGGAACCACTGCAAAATGCTTTTTTTCCATGTTTATCTAAATTGCTTGTGCACCTTGGAGTTTTGATAATCATCAATGAATCTCTCTCACTCCTTTCCATCCATAATCCTTAGTCATTAACCAAATAAAAAGCAAACAAAACATACAATAAGTTCTTAACTAAGGACCACATTTTTTTTAACTTTTAATATGTGTCACAATGCACGACGTCTGCACGCACACACGACAATCATTTGATTTGTTCTTTACAATATATATATATATATATTGTTTTTTTATATCTGTCGACAAATTATAAAACATGTGACAATCACTTGATTTGTTATTTACGATTTTGTTGGATTTTATTTATTTAAGGACGGAACCCTATCAATAGGGTGACAATGGGTTAAGTATAAAATAGGTATCTGCTTTATCTAGTCCAATAAATATTCATTAACAATGTTCAATAGATATTGAAGTGGGTAAGAGTTAAAAAAAATACATACTCACTAATATAGTTTTAGGGTATGGATATTCACTCTTTATCTTGTTAATACTCACTAATTTATTTAGATTTTTTTAACTAACATGCAGGAATCTAATTACATAAAATTTAAAAATTAATAATTAAAATATATTTTTTAAATATTTGAGGACAAGAAAAAAGCTTATAAATAAATGACCAAAATGAAAAAATAAAAAAATAAAATTTAAGAATGAAAAATTTCTTAAAAATTATAAGGACTAAAATGAATATATTTAACAAATTAAATTTAAAAGCATTTAATGGGCCGATAAACTACTATGAGCCTGGTATGATTTGGGTAAAAATTTATTTGATGATTTCTTAATAGGTAATAAATAAGATAAAAAAGTGAATTAATGGATCCGATACCCTTTTATTACCATCCCTACCTATTAGAGAGATGAAATTAAAATATATATATATACATAGAAAACTAAAATAAGAACACTCAAAAGTCAGGGTTAAGTTTGAGTTGACCTAAAGTTCAGGTAGTTTTCGACAATTAGCCTTGCAAATTTTATACTGGATGCTTTTTTACAAAAGATAGGCTAACAACATATCCTGAAGAACAAGGGTTAGCTTTAATGTACTTCTTGGTTTGGGAAGAGTTTCGTTTTTTTTTTCGTTGAAGTTTAGATTAAATCAATGTTGTCGCTAAAGTTTCAATTGTGAATCAATTTACCTTTTGATGTAACAAACTTTTTTTCAGCTGATTGAAAATTTTGAGATTCGATAAAATAAAATCATTTTAAAATAATTGGATTAAATTAAGGGTTAATACCCCACATGTTTTTATATGATAGGATAATTTTTTCAATCCATTCTTAAAAAAACCTCTAATAGGTTCTTATATTTTGAACCAGTTTTCAATATATCCTTTTATTTAAATTTTTTATCCAATCAATGCAAAATTAAACATGTAATTTAATAAAATTATCTTTATTATTTGACATAAGTAATTTACATCTATCAATATAAATATTAATTTTTAAAAATTAGCTTGAAGTTTTGACCCAAAAAAAATAGATTAAAAATGAATTTATAATATAAACATAGATTGAAAGCATTTTTTAGATATAAATTGAAAAATTGATACATTATATAAAGTGAGATGATGTTATTGACACTTGAGTTAAATTCATCACCTTCGATAAAAGAGATAAAAATGATGTCATGTTTGACGTGATCATGAATAATAGACCAAGTATATTTATTTTATTTTTTTCAATTTTCCCTTCACTTACCATGTCGGAGATATTATTATTTTATGTACTAGGTAGCCAAGCATCTAGACAGGAGTAGTTCATTTGAGATTCTCACTCAATAATACAGAAAGAGGGTGCGCGATAAGAAAACATTCTCTTGGCACATTTGGTTGAGAGGTCGGTGGCAAGAGGAAGACAGTCAAAATATGAATTCAAGGGGTTTCAAACCTCATTTAAACAACTAATATTTCTCAGTGTTCAGTTGCCTGTGACGTGATATGCTTACCATCCTCAGTATATAAATAAACTTACATCCAATCCCATTTTACAACGTGTATACATAGAGTAGCAGCACACTATCACAGAATCAAAACCATTCGTCCACTTTTTTTTTTTTTTTTTAACCGGCGCTTAAGATTTTTAACAGAACCAATCTATTAGAATTTAAAATCATATTCACTTATTATAAAAAATTATTATCACTGAGTTATAAATTATTTGTGCCCACTTCCAATTTTGGTAAGGGCAAACCCATGCTACTAGAGTACTAGTATGCATGTATCCATATTTCAAGAATAACTCTTTATGTTTTGATTTCTAAAATATTTTAAGCTCAAAAGTATATACTAATCTCTTGTTATCAATTAGACGCATAAAACGAATACAACTATCTAAAAAGTTTTTTATATATAAAAAAATTTAAATTCGAAACCAATTATTTAAATTACTAAAACTTCTTCTTTTTAAAAATAAGTTTATTAATTTTGGACGCATAAAACGAATACAACTATCTAAAAAGCTAACCATTTTGGATAATGAGTTTATTATTTTATGTTATCATTTCAGGCTCAAATTTAAGAAATTGCAAAAAAAAAATTAAAAAAATTCTCATAAATATACAATTCCATGGCTGTCTATAAAACCCAACCAAAAAAGGGACAAGTCTATATATACGAACAACCTCGGAATGAAAAAACTACTTCCATTACATTCAGTGACAACTTCTTTGCCATCATCTACAGAAAGCTTAAAAAATCAGACACACCTTCTCATGCCAAAAACAATGTGTGGAAAGGTCGTTAATGTCACGGTCTCATGCATTATGTTATTCTTGATGTTTGATTTAGCGTTCTCAGATTTGGCTGCGGATAAACGAGAGTGCAGCGAGCAACTGGGTAGTCTCTCAGCATGCCTACCTTTTGTTGGCGGCGACACAAAAAATCCAGCCCCAGCATGTTGCAGTAGATTGAGAGAGGAAATTAACAAGGCACAAAAGTGTCTGTGTATCCTAGTAAAGGATCGAAATGAACCCAACCTTGGCTTCAAGATCAATGCCACCCTTGCATTGAGCCTCCCTTCAATTTGCCATGCTCCTGCTAATGTTTCTGCGTGCCCTGGTATGTCTGCAACAAGTTTTAATTGGGATAATTATAATTTAAATGCATCGACTTTTAATTTTTTTAATTGAATACAAGAATTTTAAATTTCTTTTGTTTGAGTACACTATTTTGTTTTTAAAATATGATCAAGTACTTTTATTAATTTTTTGTTAACTATTGATGTGTATGTTATTCTCGGAATATCAAATTATAGTTTTACCTATTTTCAATCGAATACGTGATTTTAATTTTTTTCTTTGAGTATATAATTTTTTTAAAAGCTGTCAATCAAATACTTTCATCAATTTCTTTATTAATCGATAATGTATTCGAATACAAAATTATAATTTTAACTTTTTTTGTTTAACAAAACTCTTTCCAAATTATTTTATCATTTCAAAATTTGACAAAAAATTAAATAATATTATTTTTTAAATAAAAAATCCTAAACTAAATTTAGTTTGGTTGCTGTTCAAAAAAAAAAAAAAACTCAGTTAAGATTAGGGATTAAAAATTGAAAAAAAAATACAAATGAATCTTTTTGATAAAAAATCTCATATTTGTGTTTTTTTTTCAACTTTCATGCCCAAAATCTAATTAAGATTTTTTTTTTTTTTTTTACAACAAGCCTCGAGTGAGTTTAGTTCGAAATTTTATAACTACAAAATAATATTTTTTAAATTCTTTGACAAAATTTAAAATAGTAGAATAATTTAGAGAGAATATTCCTTATAACAAAAGAGAAAAAAAATATATAATTTGACATTCGGAAACGTCATCAATTAACAAAGAAATTGACGAAAGTATTTGAATGACATTTTTGAAAAAGTTGATATACTCAAATAAAAAAATTAAAGTTCATGTACTTCATTGAGAAAAAAATTAGTTATAATTTAGTATTCTAAGGGTAACGAGACATGTCATCGATTAAGAAAAAATTAATATAAATACTCAATTGACGAGTTTTGAAAGAGTTAATAAATTTAAATTAAAAAAAAATTAAAATTTATATATTCAATTGAGAAAACCTTGAAAGTGGTGTACTCGTAATGTAATTATCTTTCTTAATTCATAGTTTTTTCCAAGTAATTTGGGACCGAGATTTACTTGGTTTATCATTCATACCACTGTTTTCCTTTGTGACAGAAATGCTGCATCTGAGTCCCAACTCATCAGAAGCTGAAGTTTTCGAGGATTTTGCTGCAAGTAATAAGAGCAGTGCAATTGTTGCCGGTAATGACCTTATGTAAACCTTCACCATGTCAAGTAAACGTGTATTAAAGTGGATAGCATTTCTTTTTAGCATTGCTAGCTTTTGTACTAATAACTTCCTATCACAGGCGTTGGAACCAGTTCAAGCAATACAATGAAGGAAAAGAAATGGCTTAAAGCGAGCATGGTTGCTGTCATCACATCAGCTCTCACCATTGCAGGTTAAGGGTAACGCTTGATAAAATCCATGTCGATTAAATGTGTAATGCTCATGTTAGTAATTACAGTGTAATTCTATCCCTCCTTCAATAACAGACTAATCTGCAAGTCCTATTACTAATAACTTGATCACAACCCAAATTTCACGACAAGTGATACCTACTGATGAAATAGGAAACAAATTTAAATTCCACTGCAAGCAGCATACAACATCCTCTGACTAATTTAGAAATATCAAAAGACAAAAAAACAATACGGGGACATTACGATGATATATCTGATAAAAATTTTCATCTAGCACAACACATTTTTAAACCAACTCAGATTTTTAAGTGGTGTAAGATACAGGCTGTAAACTGTTTATGGAAATCATATGACTTGAAAATTGGAATAGAAGGAATTCCTGGTTACATGTAAGAAATCAAAGACTTCAGTATCCAATGTGTCCTGAAAGCATTCGATATTGTTCATTTGAATGTCTCCTGGGCTGTTCACCTATTATCTGGAATGACCTTGCTATGATCCACAGTATAGTCATGCCCTGGAAAATTATAGACATGGATAGGATCCAAGCAAGATAGTAAATTATAAATTAGTTCCTCTAGTGTTTCAAAACAAATTAAATAGTCCCTCTAGGTTTAAAAACTAATTAATTAGTCCTTTGACCAGTTTGACCATACTTAATTTAATATCACTTTGTTCCAAAAAAATGTCTTCTTTTATCATCAACATTTTCAAATTATTTACTTTCTATTTCTTAAAAAAAGAAAAGAAAAAGAGTATGAAATAGAAGAAAGAGATAATTGATTAGTTTTGATACCAAAGGGACTATTTAATTAATTTTGAAAAACTAGAGGGACTAATGTATAATTTACTCCACATGCGAGCTGTTTATCAGTAATGCATATGCTAATTGTTTATCAGTAATGCATATGCTAATCCTAATCTTTGTTATTAACAAACTTCGTTAAAGTAAACAAATGGCTTACAATGTGGGATACTCGACGACAACCGATAATAGTAAGCAAATACCCACACAACACAACTTCAACTGTGTACTTTAAAACACCTCAAATGAGGAAACAATTGAAGCAGTTCATCATGGCTTCGTCTCTGCAAGAAAATTAGTATGCTTGTTAAAAAAAAATTAATAAAAAAAGAAACAGGTTTGTTCCTTCACGCATTTGAAAATCTATCTCAGCATGTTGTTGTGATGCATTGCACGAATTTGCAGTCATGCAAATGTAGCTTTGAGCATTCCCATCAAAATTTCGACTAATGACTTAATTGATGGTTTCTCATATTCCCCCAGCATCACCCAGTCTTACAGCAGTGCACATCTCCAGTTCAGCAGTTCTGATCTAAAAGATGTATCAGTGCAATTCTGCCTTGTTTTTTTATTTTTTTATGTATCAGTGCAATTCTGCCTTTTTTTTTATGAGGATATTCCAATTTTATTATAGTTTCTGACGAACCCCACTTACTTGCGCTAGAGAACCACTGATGTACAGGCTCATTAGTAATTCTGCTGACTATTAACTTATAAATACACAAAATTCAAGAGTCATAAGCTGTTTGCAACAACAATCAGGTACCTTTATGCCAATACATCCATTTACATCGAGGGTTGTAATTGTATTTGAGCAGAACCTCGACAGGACCTCCAGAGACTTATCCGTCACACCAACTATTCCAAACATCACCCAGTCTTACTGCAGTGGACATCTCCAGTTCTGATCTAAAAGATGTATCAGTGCAATTCTGCCTTCTTTTTTCATTTTTTTATGTATCAGTGCAATTCTGCCTTCTTTTTTTTTTTATGAGGATGTTCCAATTTTATTATAGTTTCTGATGAACCCCACTTACTTGCACTAGAGAACCACTGATGTAGAGGCTCATTACCAATTCTGCTGACTATTAACTTGTAAATACACAAAATTCAAGAGTCATAAGCTGTTTGCAACAACAGTCAGGTACCTTTATGCCAATACATCCATTTACATCGAGGGTTGTAATTGTGTTTGAGCAGAACCTCGACAGGACCTCTAGACACTTATCCGTCACACCAACTATTCCAAACAAGCTGCATCATTATTTACCATGACATCAGAAACAAGACTATAGCATGAGAAAATGTAATAACTGCAAGGTTACTGCATCCTGATTGAGTTTACCAGAATAACAATATAGAATGGACAGCATGCTAGTCAATTTTACCCAAAACTACAGGCATTAATTTGATTGTTGTTTTATTTGTCAGAAGACAACATCTGTCATGGAACATATCAAACTTACTAACACATGGAACATGGCCATTCAGAGAACTCAACAGGGCACATATGAAGAAATTTTCAGTTGTCTGTTGTGTTTAGGTTATTCTAACATGTAGTTTGTGTTATCTAAAAATTATACTAACATCGAGAATGCCATCCAATACTTCTGAAATACTACCAAACTAGGAGCAGCAGAATGACCTACGCCAGGGTACATTAGTTTGGCACAGTTCACCATGAGCAAAAGGTTCAAGCTTGGCAAAGCTTTCACTTAAAGATGGTTGCAAAATCAAGCGTTCTCATGCTTTGTCATCAAATCTCTATTGGGACAGGTAGAGATGCATTTTGACATTAGGACTGGGGACAATCAGAGAGTGTGATCCTTAAGTCAGGGTCCAGAAACAAGTATCATCAGACTCTCTAGCTTAAGCTAGGAATTTACCTGAGAAATTCAAGAGAGGTGCAACCTTCAGCAATAGCGATAACCCCCACATCAGTGACACGAACACACCTGATATAAAGATAACAAAAGCTTTTGAACTGATTTTCTGTTATTTCCAAGAGTTATCATATATATAACTCACCATGTCAAATTGAGTGAGACAATATTCTTGCATTTAGCTATACAAGAGAGTCCTTCATCAGATAGATTCTGAAAGTCAAATCGAGGTATTACAAAAACTAAAATAAAATTTTGGAATGTAAAATGCTTGTTCAGCAAAAAATATTTTTACCTGGGCACCACATAGATCTAAAAATTTTAGATGGGGTAGACTTGATATCTTCTTATAGGCTTTGTCTGTGAAGCTGTAAGTAAAGCAGAACAGGTTCCGTTATATAGAAGTGCAAGGGGCTAAAATTACAATTAACAACAAATATCTAGAGATACCTGGAAAGGGCATAAAGATTTAAACTCTGTAGAGAGGCACACTTGGATAATATTTGTTGCAAGCCACCATCTGTCAGCTTGATGCACCTAGAAATATCGAGGCGATTATAAATTATAGTAAGGACACGATGGAAGGAAAGTGTAGATTTGAACCAGTAGCAATCAAGTTTGTGATCTTATACGTATTTTCCTCCTGATAGAAAATTCTTTAAGAGGACAGATTGCATAAACATGGATTAGTACAAATTATTCTTGATCTTTGTTGAGCTTAAGCACCTTTTGCAATTTGAATCCATCTCACAGACAGAGTGAACTAAATTTACAATGCTTCCTATTTCATTAGAGGACATATAATTCTACTCTTTTTGCTCATTCCCTTCTAATAATCTATTCTTCTTTCATCACAAAAAATAGATGATAATAAAACCAACATCGATCCATTACATTACCTAGTCAGGTTCAATGACTCCAAGTCTTGATATCTTTCACCAATTAATTGCAAGCTTTTGTCAGATATATTCTGCAAGTAAAACGTTGAAATACTCCAATAATGGATTACATTGAGACAATGAATATTCAACATCAACAGTTGAAGATTAAGAACAGGCTATACTAATTATAAAAGTGTTTTGATTCGTTCTGAGTGTGTTAAACCAAACCAGTTCCCAATATCTATACTTTGAGTTAACTGTATTCAATTTAAACAGTTGGATATAAGCACAAGAAACAATCATAACCTCCTGTAGAGGATTAGAACAAGACTTCGATAGTTCCACACATTTGGGAAAACATAAAAAATAAAGTTTTTGAAGAACCTGCTATTGAAGTTAAGACAGCATAAAAAGTAGCTTTTTAGAAAGAAAAAAGTCAACAGAAGGTGGAGCACATTTCTACTAAGCCATTGAAGCATAACACAACGACATGTCTCTTCTTCATAACCACAACAAGTATAATGCAAGTCATATAAGAAAAATGGTGGCATTCAATTTATCAATCCAGTACCTTACATCCACTTAAGTTCAAATCAATGATATGTTTGCAATTTTCCACCAAATGCTTTATACCATTGTCTGTTACCCTGAAGCTCAATTCACAAGCCAAAACTCATCAGTACTTTAAAAAAATTGAATTTAAGGATCTATTTGAAGAACAAATGACTATCTGCAAATCTAATTAATCTTTACATACCTGACATTCCAATAAATAGAGAAGACCTTCAGTTTAGAACAAGTACTTGTTATCGCTTCTATTCCTTTGTCAGATATCTTCTGGCAGCCATTCAGATTTAAAGACTCCAGGTTTTGAAGAGAAACAAAGTACTGAAATATTAAAAATTCTAAGTACAATGTCAGGGAAGGTCAGATCATTAAAAAACAATTTAAAATTAAACAAACTACATTTCTAGCAATTTTCAGATTCAATTATCAAAGGCAAATACTTCAACTAAATCCGTGTTGGCAACCTGGGTCCTCTAAATCTCCTTTCAATTCTAATTAATAAATTCATTGACCTGAAGTGAATTTACCTTCTTTTTTTTGTTTCGACCTGCTTACGTGAAAAATTACAATATCTGCAAGCTTGCAGCATGACCCTTTATCAGCATGTAACTATTGTGGAGAATTATATTGTTTGCATGAATGCTTTAAAAATTTGAAACAGGGATATCACTGCTTGCTCCACTTCATTCTCCGACTTACATCACTGAATCAATGTACCAATAACAATCATGATTCTCCATGTTCAATTCCATGAACTATCAAGCTAAATTGGCTGATCAAAAACTTCTGATGAGCCTATTGCCTAGAATCAGTCCTGTCCCTTTGTCATACCAGACAATCCAAGTTTATTTCTCAACCTTATCTATCAATTATAAAATACATAGCGCATGAAATTAAGCCTCGAGCATTAGTGCTCATATGTTTGCTCAAATATCCCACATTTGTCAGCTTCTAGCAGTTAAGATAGAAAGTATGCCACAATATCATTTGTTCTCATAATCAAACAATACATACCTTGCTTCGCAGGACTTCTAGATGTTTGTCTTCGATATCTTGTGCAAATTCTAGGTTTATCTGTTTCAAATGCTGATATCTTGGCTACAAAAACACGTGTCCAATGCCTCAATATCATTGTCTATCACCCATTGCACAAAAACTCCATCTTTAAAATACTCCCAAATATATACACAACTAGTTACGTTCATGCATGATGCCCAGGTCTATTGTAGTGTATTTTTGATGTTAAAGTTAATTTTTAGATTTAAGAGAGATAATAATTTATCTTAATGGAAATTGCATTATGAGTTTTAAATTTATAACAGGATACTTTGATAGTTATTGAATATCCTAAAATCAATTTACTACCTTTTGGTATCACATAGATCAAGGAAAAATACAATGAAGGAAGTTGCGTAAAATTAATGCATGAACCTAATCAATTAACTCACTCTGTTTTCCAAATCTCTCTCTCTCTCTCAATTCTATGCAACTCTCTCTATCCAACAATAGAATTATAGTTTTTGAAACCTTTTCCACTAAACTCAACAATTACATGCTCTACTTTCTCTCAGTTCCGCGCCACTTCAAATCATAAAGCCATCATCTTTCACATCCAAATACACATATCCCAAAAAAAAAAACTACCTTTTATCAACAATTACAAAGCAGAAAAGAACAAATACTTTTTCATGGATTTAGAAACCAAAGCTTATTATGTATTACCAGTGAAATAGCAGCAATGATTCTATCTCCAGCTTTATTCATCTCACGAAAATCAAGAACCTTTAACAAAAACAATAAAGCCCCGGATCATAAAATCCAATATCAGGCCACAAAGATTAAAAATTGATCCAGAAAGTGAGAGACAAAAAAAAAAAAAATGAGATAGAGAAAGTATATACCATCCAGAGAGAGGGGTATGAGGTGAGTGTCCTGTAAAGCCAAGGGCTGACAAGTAAAAGAGAAATGAGGTCTCTGTGAGGAAGTCTCGTGCTGACAATTTTCATTACTTTTGGGATTGTTTCTCTGTTCCATGTTGTCGTCGCTGTTCGCTCTGCTTTTGCTTCTGCTTCTTTTGCTTCCATTTTTGCGGTTCGCTGTGTCTCTGGGTTTCTCTAAATATTATGTGAGATTTTGCACCACCGTCCCTTTTTGAGACATATCTAAAACAACCCCTTCATTTTCTCAGATAACAGCGTTATGAGGTTCTCTAATGTTAATTATTTTCATTTAAGTCCTTTTCATTTAAATTGAGTGCTCTAAATTTTTTGTTGTTTTAATCCTGAAGTAATAACAGGATTTAACTTGATGGACAAACTTTTCTGGGCATGAATTCGAAATCTAGCAAGGGCTGTGCACTTTTAATTCTTCAAAGGAGTTCATTCCTTTTGCCTGCTCTGCAGATAAATTAAATTAATGTTGCTTTGGTATTATAAATAATGCAAATATATGTAGGTTTTTATGGATATTTACAATTAGTCTGTCACGGTTTGAAATTAATTGCGCTAGGTCACACTAATTTTTGAATCAATGAGGATTCATTTTGGTTTTTTTTTTTTTTTGAAAAAAAAAACACCACACTTCATGTCCTATAAAAAATATTTATACAAACTATCAAATAATAAAACTTGAACCTAAAACCACTTCCTATCTGAAACCATAGTTTAATGACAAATTTTATCTTTATTTTATTACGATTTGACAATTTCGAATTTTTAGTATCAAATTACGTAATTTGAACTTCAAATTATTAATTTTTGAACAAAATTAATTTAATTTCTTTAATTGTTATTATATATAACGATCAACTGAATTAACTTAATTTTGCTCAAAAACTAATAGTTTGGGATTCAAATTACATAATTGATACTAAAAGCTTAAAATTATCAAATTGTAATAAAATGATGATAAAATTTACCATCAAACCCTTAAACCATATCCTTGCCATTGTTTAAAAAAAAAACAAGTTGTTGACTTAGTGGTAAACGAACTAATTTGTAGGTGATTTTTTTGTCGATGTGCAACATTTAAATTCTGATATCGTATTTGTTGGGATGACTTTCGTTTTGAATATGATTAATCATATTCTAATATGAGAAAAGCCAGAAAACTGAAAAAAAAAAAAAAGATATTGGTTTAATAAAACAAAAGAAAGAAAATTCCCCTAGCAGGAGTCTATTGGCATGACAGGAATTTAAGAAAAAACGCAGTAGAAGTTAACATGCATGAAATAGATTTCAAAACCATCTTCACATCAAAAAGAGTCGAATACCATACCAATGTAGGCAATTTCAGGCAGCTATTGTGATAGCAGGTTGGAACTGCAACTTCATATCCATGGCTAAGAAATGAAGCTGGCAATGACATTGTGTTAACTTATGCTAGTCCCAGCTGGTTCTTCTCACACGTTACGACAACGAAACTGCAAAACCCATTTTATTCCTAAGTTAGCCACCCGTGACAGACAAGCTAGATTAAAGCCTCAAGCTCCATTTTATTCTTCTGTTTGGCTTTGCTTCTCATCCAAAGCCACAAAGGTAAGCTTTAGCTTATGCACGTACCTAGCTAGCTTCTGTCAGAAAATATAATTTAAGGATATTGCCATGATTTGAGCTCCACGTATCTTTTGCTTCTAAGTTGCACCACTTGGCTAAACACCATTAACCGTCGTTCCACTACTGCATACTTTCTTCTTGCGTAATAATGTGTTCATGATGCTTTCTAAATTAAAACAATACAATATAAATCGACACCAATACGCTAATTAAGAGGCTATTTTCAGCAAATTTATTCCTGCTGCTTGCACATAAAATAAAAACAGTATTCAGACATTATATTCAGCATCGCATTTGTCTTGGGTTGACTGTGAAAAAAAAGGCTGAAGCATAGAAATCAAAGTACCAAGTGACGAAACAATTGACAAGCCAAAAAAATTGACACAACCGGAGCTCTGCTAACAACTCATGCACTGAAGAAAATGAAGGATAGAGAACGATTTCAGTAAGATCCAACACATATCAATTAATCAGTCTATAATGCTAACAAATACAAGATTAAATATTGGGCAGAAAATTACATCTCATGGTCATATAAACCCCAAACAAAAAGAAGGAGGAGAAATTAAAAATGAATTCAACACAAAGAATTACATCGAAAATTTTTATGCCTGATCTTGTCCTGCATGCCACAACGATCGTTGCCATTGCAAGCTTAAACTCTCTCCATGTCTTGTTGCTTTCCACACTTGCTCATTTTATAGAACATGTCTATGAGTGCATAACGCTACGACATGATGTTTCATTGCTAGAACTGTATTAACCGAACCAGATCTTGTACAAGCAATAGCACTGACCAAACCAAACCCTTTTTCAGTGACTGGAACATTACCAAACAATCATGTACTATAATAATAAACTGCGTCCTTTTTATCGTAATGACCAGTTGTTAGGAAGGCATAGGTTCACATGGGATGCTTGATGAATGGAGACACGGTATTTGGGGCCTGATATGTCAGGAAAAATTACACCCGAACACGTCCCTCAAGAAGCCTTCGCTTGCTCCAAATATGCATACGCAGCGCCCTCCGGACTAAAGGAACCTCTATGGCCAGGAACACCTTATTTCCTGTTTCCTTTTCAACTCTTTCATTGTAGTACATTTTCCTACGAGGAAAAAAAACACGAAGGACAGACATTAAATAAATTAAAAAACCACCTTACATGTTACTACAAAAAATAATGGCATCTGGCCTGATACTCATAAGACATTTACTTGAAAAAATCCTCAATTTACAGAAGCTTTTGTAGTTTCTGATGTACGCTAAGAGAAAGACTCTTTTACTTTTAAAACAGGGTTAAATACATCTCGTACTCTTTTACTATATAAAAAATATCATTCCAACCCTCTATCCAGATATAATGTATAATAAATCTTATACTATTAGACGTTAATGCAAAACAACTCATTTGTTAACTTTTTTCTTCAGATTGATTAATTTCTATTAGTTTACTAATATTTGATCAATCAAATAGCGACACATGTTAACTTAAAAGTAAAAATATAATTTTCTTTTAAAATCATTTTTTTATATATTTTTAAAATTAAAATAATTAAGGGATAATTACTTTATAAGTATATAAACTTTCAATTCTTTCTCCATTGAGTACATGAATTTTAATTTTTTTCGTTTGAGTATGCCAACTTTTTCAAAATTATCAATTAAGTACTTCTATTAATTCTTTTGTTAATTGATGTGTGTTTGTTACCTTCAAAATACCAAATTACAATTTTATCATTTTTTCTTTCAATTGAGTACATAAACCTTAATTTTTTTTGTTTGAGTATATCAACTTTTTCAAAACTTATAATCAAGTACTTTTATTATTTTTTAATTGATGATGTGTTAAAAAATGAAATTATAATTTTACTTTTTTTTTTTAAGAAAATTTTCTCTTTAAATTATTTTACTATTTCAAAATTTAAAAAATATTGATTTTTAGCTATAAAATTTCAAACAAAACTCAATTAGGTTGCAATTTAAAAAATAAAAAATAAAATAAAAACTTAGTTGGGTTTTAAAGTGAAAATTGAAAGAAAACTCAAATGAATTTTCTCGATAAAAAAATCTCACGTTTGTATTTTTTTCAACTTTCACGCTCAAAACCTAATTGATTTTTTTTTTAATAGCAACCAACCAAGTTTAGTTTGAGATTTTATAACTAAAAATATATTATTTTAATTCTTTGTTAAATTTAAAAATGGTAGAATAATTGGGAAGAAAGTTACTTACAACAAAAGAGGAAAAAATATAATTTGTTATTTAGATACATCATCAATTAATAAAAAAAATTAACGAAAGTATTTGATTGATAGCTTTGAAAAAGTTAGTATACTCAATCGCAAGAAAATTAAACTTCATGTACTCTATTGAAAAAAGAGCAAACTTATAATTTCATATTATGAAGATAATGGACATGTCATTAGTTAACAAAAAAAGTAATGGAAGTACTTGATTGACGAGTTTTAAAATAGTTGACGTACTTAAATAAAAAAAACAATTGAAGTCATCGGTTAATAGAGATATCTCTTTGTTATCGCAAAACTTTTCGGTAAGCCTTAAACTCAAGCATCAACGAGAAGAAAAGCGACTCACAATTGTCGCCATGTAAAAAAAGTCAAAACATTATAACCATGAACTCTAAGTCTCTCTACTCACCTCGTAAATCTTAAACGCCATAGAAAATTAAATGTGTCCGAAAGAACGAAGAGGGAAAAGTGTGGGTGTTTGGTCATGAGTTAAAATAAGGAAAGGAGAAGAGATTTTCAAAGTTTTTAAAGTATATATAACCAATACAAGCTAAACCTAAGGTAAGTGTAGTCTTAACTACACCACAAGAATGAATTATTATGTGTGATTGATGATTGTTGTTTGGTATTTTAGAATTGTTAAGTTTAGATGTTCACTTGGATTAGTATTTATGATTTACTTGTTTTTTATGTCTAAGTAGTGATATTCTTAATTGATCATTTACTTGGAGTAAGTTTATCTTAATTTCATCACAAGATATGAATTTTATGGAATTGATATGTGTAAGTGCTTGATTGAGGTTTAATTGGTGGTGTTACTTATTGAGTTTCAGCCAAGTCTAATTTGTGGTTAGTTGATTTGGTTTTATGTGTTGATTGATGATTGGTCATTTATGAGATTATATTGATCTATAATCATATGATTAGTGAGTGATTTAATCTTGGATCATGTTAACCAATTGATTAAATATTGGCATGCCTAATAATGGATTTGGTTTTAGGTGAATTTTTGTGTCCATTGAATATGTTTTCTAATGATTAATGATTTATGGATTATTTGTGGTGTTAAATGATAATTTTCGATCTTATGGTTAATTAAAATATTTTAGTTAGGGTTTTGGGTGTTTAAAGGTTCATAGGATGACTTGTGATGATATAGTAAGTTTCGGACTATATGTTGCTCTTGGTGTGATGTTTTCACCAAATGTTATGTTTCACACCACTTGTTGTTTGTTCATGTACTTGTTTAAATTATTCATATATTGACGTGATATGTTTA